TACTTAAAAGGAGAAGAGAAGTTAAAAATAAGATTTTCAAAACAGGCACTAAATCTTAAGAGAAGAATTATATTGACAAACTTTTTTTTGAAAAATTTATAAACTACATTATGTTTTACTGTAAGGCTTTACTCAAGAATGTCTTATCAGTATTTTTCAAAAAAATAACTTTTCCCGAATTTTAATATTACAAAAAATAGGCATTATATTTAAAGCAGACACCAAGATACATGGCAAAAGCCATAAAACAAATGGAAAAAGTCAAAAAGTTATGGATATAAAGACTCAAATTTTAAGTGAAGGTGATTTACATTATATATATCATGAAGCGATGGCGAAGTCAGAAAATTTTGTGAAAGAAGAAAAGGAATTCAAAATTCACACTATATTAGTCGGGGTAACATAATAGTAAATCAAAACATGGTTAAATTTGAAGAACTCTGCAAAAAAAATTTCGTACATGAGAAAAAATAAGGATGAATGGTGACTAACATATATTACACCACCTTTCTTTTAAGTCTGAATATATTCATGACAAAGGTTTGATGAACTTAAGGGGGATGTTCGCTCCTCCCATCCCCTCCATGGCTTCACTTCTGCCATTCATATGGAAATGAAAAATATTTGTTAAGAACCTTGAGGTCACCACACCAAAAGCTAGCTTAAAGGGTGGGAGTGCCCAAGGCCTTATAAATCTCACATTACGTCCCCTCACACGAGAGTCCACTAAGCTTGAAGGGTGGACAACATACAAGCCCACCTACATATGGAAATTACGCTATGATAACATGTTAAGAACCTTGAGGTCACCACCCCAAAAGCTAGCTGAAAGAGTAGGAGTGACTAAGGCCTTATAAACCTCACATTAGTTGCCCATACAACCAATGTGAGACTATATTTCTCAACAGTATTTCTTCCCCAAAAAATTAAAAGTTGCTCCTAATATTCAATGCAGATTGATAGTGATGCAAGTAAGGAGAGAGAGAGAGAGAGAGAGGGTGGAGCGATCACAAATGAATATAAAATTGTAGTCCATTGTTAACAAACTGTAGCATAATGCTGATTGCAAGAAAAGAATGCATACGCCACAGAGTCAAAGTTGCAGTAACATAATTTTTTTTTAAATAAAAAAAAAAAAAATTTGATTCACAAGCAATGGGGTATGTAAGCATGGCCAAAGTCTTGAAGTTACATATGAGATTACAGCAAAGCTAGATAAGGACACTTTCGTTGTATGATCAGATAGTTACCAAATTAATTGATTTTGTAAAGTGATTTACAGAATCTCGTTTTGTAACCCCCCAAAAAATGTAATTTACAGACTTGAGGTCTTCATTTGAGAGAAGGAAGATGAATTAAAAGAGAAATATTTGTCGTTGTGTAACTCATAGAAAAAGAAGAAAAAATCAGACTTGCACGGTCCATTATATTTGAATTTTTCGCGAAGTATGGTGAAGTTGATTATTGATTTCCTTATTTAATCATTTGGTTCATAAAGAAGTGTTCACAACCGTAAGGGAAACATCATATCTATCTAAATTTCGAACTTGAAGAAAGTGGAAACCATTAAGAAAAGACAAATATAGAGGCCAACCTTCCTTTGATTATTTTTTAATTAATTCCATTTCGGATTGTTGTTTGTATCTACCTTAAAACATCATAAATCATGTTCAAAATTATTTTATTGTCTTTTCTAAGTACAAAGGAAAAATGAGAGATTTTATTTTTCTAATTAATTTTGTCTTAATTTAATGTAGCTATTGTTGTCTAATCATTAAGCTAACAAACACCACCCAATCGTATTATATCGCTTCCTATAATAACCATAATAAAAAATAATTATGAATATAAAAAGTCATACCGTGAAATAATTACATAAAATTTATAAAAGAGCACTAGAAATTGAAGGATATATAAAGAGGTAATTTTTTAAGTGGTAGGTTTGGGTGTAATTTCCGTTATTACTCCACAAAAAACCGTGCCTCCCATAAAGTTTCGACAATAATCTATTGACTAATCATTACAACTCGTGTACTATTAGATCAATAATTGATTGCCACGTAATGCAAGCATTCAAACATTTTTTTTAAAGTAAGGAATAATTAGTACCTAATATGGGAGAGAGACCCCATTAGGGGCTCTCTAATGTAGCTCGGGAAAAGGAGAGAAAGATACGGGAATGAAAGGTAGAATAGAGAGCATGCATGTAGAAATTAAATCTTACTATTGTTGTTACATGTTCCTAACTCCTATTGGTTTAGTTGCTCACGTAGATTCCGTATCTTCTTTTACTTGTTTATTTTATTATTTTCTGATAAGGATTTTTGACTTGGACATTTTCACGTACGTAGTGTGTTAGTAGACTCAACTCAGCGCGTTAAGCACTTATTTTGTATATTAGCCATTTTCACACGTATCAATAGCATGTGGCGTATAGATTCTTAATTATAAAATATCATATAACCCGGGACAAAAAAGAGAGTTTTGCAATGCATATGTGATTGACATTTCGAATCTAGTTTTTCACTATTGGGAAAAATCACAATCTAATATATATACATTGATGATATTTATACATCATTTGTGTTACAATTTTTTTATACTACTCTCAAAAAGATAACACAATAAGATACATATATATATTTTAACGCATTCTTTTTCTACCCTCATTTTCTTAAACAAGAAAAGTATAAAAACAAGAGAGAGTATATGATCATTTATGTTATGCAAATATCAAAATCCATATATACACATGAAAAAAAAATGCACTCCTCTGCTGTAAAGCTAGCACCATATAACTAACAAAAGAAAATGTCATTATTTCTTTTGTAATTAGCTTGTTATTTACATATGAATAGTATATTCTTAGATTCTTCACAGGATGATCATAATTCAAAATGACTTAATCTTTTTACATCATTGGCATTTCATAATTTTTTTTTAATAATACACTCATAAAATCAAGACAGCATTGTAATTAATTCCCTGCTGGAGGGTATACCCATGGTCGACTTCTATAATTAATTATTCGTGATGACAATGACATATTGACATTAATGAGGATGCTCAACCTAATCAGAAACCCTTCATCAAGGGAAGATGAAGTATCAATTTTTATTTAATTTAATTTATTTATTTTTTGTTGGATAAGCTTCAGATTTGATAAGGTTCGAAAATATGTTTGCAAGGTTGTCTCTACCGCATAACAACGCGTTAATATGTTTACCACAAATGAATCCCATTGATGACGGAAGAACTCTTTCTGGAAACATATATACATATAATCTGATTTGCAAGTTGCAAATATTTGCTTGCAAGTTGCTAACCAAGTGGCCATGTTCGGCATATTAATTGTTATTAGGCTTATAGGTTATAGCTGCTAACCCCTACAGGAAGCATGTTGCACAATTAGTAAGGGGAAGCATGTTGGGGCAAGTGTCAAAAACCTCTACGTTTTGGATTTGGATAACAGATAAACCGACATATGATCATATTATTTGATTACAATCACTCATTATTGATGATGAGATAAGAGAAAAAAAAGTATATAACTTTTAAATAATAAGTGGCGTCTATGATCAAACAATATGATCACATGACTATTTTTAAACATGAGGATCCAAATTCCTACGTTTTAGGATTAGTCTCGTTCAAATGATTGTCCTCGAATTTGCATTGGATATACATACATGTATGAAGCACCATGTTGCTACTAGGAGTTAGTTTTTAGAGCCCCACCACCTACCAAGAAAAACTGCTGCACTATTACGAATTTACGACGGCAACAATAATGAATATTATCGTCCATATAATTTCGTGGTACAAGATCAAGTAGTAGAGCCAAAACTGGAAAAAAAAAAAAAAAAAAAAAAAAAAAAAACTAGAGAATCAATACATACGAAAAGTGTCCATATAGGGAACGGCTCAGTGGTGTTGAAGATCGGATGAGACAAAACGGCAAGTTAAAAAAAAATTCTATGATATTTGCATATTGGTAAACTAGTAAAAAACCAAACACATTAGACGATCCATTTTAAGATATAGTACGTGGTTGTATTTATACGATTATTGTATTCGTGTACGTAAACATAATGTTGTAGAGATACAGAAATGTCTTACATATACTTTCCAGGTGGAATGAAGGTTCTATATACTTATAGCTTAATAAAACCAAAGTAAAATAGATAGTCTAATTTATTATTGGGTTTAATATCTCTATATTGTATGAGATAAAATTAACTCATATGCACATATTAAAATGTATGGAATAATTTTTTTTCTTTCTTTTTTCACATGAGCTTCATACACTTTTACATGTGTGTAAGAAATAATTTTATCTTCTAACTACATCATAAAAAATATCAAATCCTTCATTATTTTACAAGTATGGACAATTTGTATTAAGTATAATTGAATAGGAAAGGTAGTGCAGAGAAAGAACAAAAAAAGACCACCAACCCATTTGAATTTGTGAGATAAGCCAAACTTTGGAGGTATTGGGTAGTGGGACCTAACTCTGAAATCTTCTTCAAGGTAGCAGAGAGAAAGAGAGAGATGCAGGATTTGTTTTTTGTTCTGCTCTTAACAGTTTATATTACAGATCCTTAAAATACAAAGAACCTGAGAGGGTTCATGATGTTAACTCCATTCTTTCTGGTTCCAGAGATATATGATCGAGGGTCAAACTTTCCTGAGAAGTCATATTAAATGTTTAGTTTGTTTTTTAGTGCAGAAATTTCGGTGAAAAAGACACAAATGGGCCCTCTTTTCCCGGGGGAAGAGTCAAGAGAGAGGTGTGAGATGAAAACCAGATTCCATTGCGGTCTTACGCTATTGGTGCAAATGAAAACCACATAATGCATATAATAATGAGATGCTTTTCTGTGTGCCCTTATAAATGCCTCTAACTTGGTACTCTATTTTCTCAAGGTGTTTCCTAAATAATTAGCCTTCACATCATAGAGTGTGTGTGTGTGTGTGTGAGAGAGAGAGAGAGAGAGATGGAGCTCTATGACCATGATTTCTTGGAGGAGTTACTGGCTCTAAGAAGAGAAACATGGGACACCAATCCAAGTTCAGAAGAAAACCAGCACTTCTCTAATGGGTGGAGTTTTGACTGTTTAGATCAAAACTCTCATGCTTTTCTTCCAAATTCTTCCACTTGCCAAGAAGTTCCTCAAAGTTATAACAACGACTACTCTTTCAATGAAATCTATAGTTCCTTACTCGATGAATCCTATGCAGCACAGTTTACTGATTCTTCCTATAACACTCTTCATACTCCTCTTAATACCCCTCCATTTCTAGCTCAAGAAGATAACCCATTGTCCATGATGGAAGACGAGGATCCTGGTTTGCTTGGGGAAGAGCTTCATAATTTGAACCTTCAAACCACATGCAAAATGGAGCCTAGCCAATCCCCTGAAATAATGCCTGCTTTCAACAAGGGTAAGTGTCTTGAAAGAAGGAATAGAGCAAAGAAGCTGCAGGGGCAACCCTCCAAGAATCTAATGGCTGAGAGAAGAAGAAGAAAGAGATTGAACGACAGGCTCTCCATGCTAAGATCAATTGTCCCTAAGATAAGTAAGGTACGCAGTAAAAATCATTCCATGAGTACTAAAATGTAAAACACATATATATATAGAGAACTACTGTATATAGTTTGTGTCATATATATGCAGAAAGTGCTAATTTCCTTGTTGAATTCTTACCGCAGATGGACAGAACATCTATACTAGGAGACACTATCGATTACATGAAAGAACTCTTGGGGAAGATCAATAATTTGAAACAAGAAATAGAAGTAGATTCAAACATGGCTGGCATTTTCAATGATTTAAAGCCAAACGAAATCTTAATGAGAAATTCTCCTAAGGTATGGATTTTATCTGCTAGTCTTAAGAGGTCAAATCACAATTGAAGGATCATAATTGAGATTTGGTGTAATCATGTATTGTTTTTCCCCCCTCTGTGTAGTTTGATGTGGAGAGAAGGAATGTCAACACAAGGGTTGAGATCTGCTGTTCAGGGAAGCCAGGCTTGTTGCTATCTACAGTAAAGACCTTGGAAGCATTAGGCATTGAGATCCAACATTGTGTTGTTAGCTGTTTCAATGATTTCACAATGCAGGCTTCTTGCTCAGAGGTATATTAGTATGATGGTTTTTGGGCACTGTAGAAATTATTTGGCTGTAGTCTTTGTATTAAACAGATATATTAATCTTTTTTGTTGAGCAATATGGAGTGGTATTCAATCTTATTATCTTGTTTGTTATGTAACAGGATTTGGAGCAGAAGACAATTCTGAGTTCTGAAGATATAAAACAAGCACTATTTAGAAGCGCAGGATATGCAGGAAGATGTTTGTGAGAAAAGAACAAAAAAAAAAAAGAGGGGGGAGGGGAAGCATGTTCCCTTTAGCTATAGAGTAGAGTTTTTGAGTTTGTGATATCCATTGAGATTTACAAGCAAGACAAAAGCTGCATTGTTTTTTTCTTAAATGTATGGAAATAAATGATTTCTTCAACAGGAGCACCATAACATTGCTTCAAAAATGGTGATTGGCTTTGTTCTCTAACATATTCCTACTACAAAGGCCAATTTGATCGAATTGCCAGGGTGTGATGGAATCGTGCTTATGATTCTTTGGCACATTTCATCAAATACAAAGTAGGGAACTTTTGAAAGCTGTCTTGCTGAGGACAGCATCCTTTATTGCATAAACCTCATATGTAATCAGAAATATGTTTCATGTGGATGTAGTACAATTTAAGGACGACGCCTGCTAATTGCCCTCAGGAATAGGAAAATGCGCATGGAGGGTCAAGCAAAAGTGTAACATTTTAAGAGTAAAGTTCAAGATTTTTGTCTCTATCACTTTCAGATATGTCTTTTCAATTTCTCTTTGCGTGCAACTTACTATGTTTAAAGGGTACAGACTTTTTTCTATAGAATGATTTGACGATGATAATTCTGAATGAATGAATTCTATTACTTTTATTTAGTTTTTTTCAAGAAGATGATAAATGTAGATAAGTTATCTGTATTGAGTCCAAAATAAAATTGTTGAGACAGAAATTAAGATATTTTTATAATTATAATTTATTTCAGGATTATAATAGTCTTTCTCATTATAATTTTTTAATCTTTCAACGAAAAATAATATCATTTTTGCAGTGAATATAAATAATTTATTTATGTTTGCTGTTCAAATATTAAAGCCTATTTTTATTATGTAAAAAAAGTCCTGCGTGCCAAATTATTGCTTAAAATTTATGGGTTATTACGACCAATAATTTTATTAGTTATTACTTCATTTTGTGCTATTTTTCTTTAGATATATATATATATAGGGTTTGTTGGATGAACAGTGACTGCACCTAAAGTTAGGTGCAGTTCACTATGTACCCCCGGTACATAGTTATAACAAATATTATAACTATGTACTCTCGGGAGTACACCAGAGTACATAGTTATAATAGGATTCACTGGATATTCATTAAATTGATATATATATATATATATATGTGGAAAAATATTTCTCCGGCAACTTGATAAGTTTATCTCCGGTCACCCCAAAACTATGTCGTTTTATTTGTTTATTTCCTTATATTAATTGATTCACCTTTGAATGGTTAAGATTCTTTTTTTCTCTCTCTTCCTTCATTACCATTGCTTCATCTTTGTGCTGTTATGATTTAATAGTCAGAGATAAAATTATCTCAAGCAGCTTGAGAAACGATAAGCCCTATATATATATGATAAAATCATTTCTGCAGCTGCTGTATATACTAGGGATGTTCGCGGTTTGGATTGGATCGATTTTGGAAGCAAAAAGCATCTGATCCAATCCCTTCAATTTGATCATGTAATCATCCATTCGGTTTAGATTTTTTTTCAAATCCGATCCAATTTTTTTCGATTTGGATTGGATTGGTTTTCGATTTTTTAAAAAGCCTTAAATTTGTTTCATGATTATTGTACAAATAACATATCTTTTGTATATATTGACTTTGTAAAGTTTTTTTTTTAAATACAGAAATATTAGTAAACGATAATATAGTTTTTTTTGGGCAGTAAGATATGAAGCTCTACACGGATAAAATCTTGCTGATGGGATGTGGCTAGGTTTTTTCTTGGGTTTAGTTGATGGGTCTTGGGTTTAGAATTTTTTGGACTATGATTGGGGAAAGGCACAAATAGGTAAAGGGGAATTAATATATTGGATCGGTTTGGATTGTATCTGTTTTCATCAACCAAATCGAAATCTGATCTAATCCAATTAAAATTTGTGATTTTTTTTTTGTTTTCGGTTTTTCGGTTCAGTCACCGCGGTTTGAATCGGTTTGGATCGGTTGATGAACAGCCTTAGTATATATAGTGATTAATCTTGACCATTGATTCCCAATATTTAATGTTGTCACCCACCATATTTAATACTATCATCCACTTTTGTATGATTATGATTTCTCAAATTTAATTGGATACATACAGCAGCTGCAAAAATGACAACTCCTATATATATATACGAGGTAGGATCCTTTGACACCTCATCTGAGAGCCATTACATCAAAAAATATCAATGCCTGCAAATCAGAGTCGTTGATATTTTTTGATCTAATGGCTATCAGATGAGGTGTCAAATTTAAAATTTGACACTGGTGTCAAAGGATCCCGCCTCTATATATATATATATATATATATACACACACGTTAAGAATTATTTTATATCGATGTAAGTTACATTTTTTATTTTGATTATTGATCTATTTATATTTAATGGTTCTAATTTATTAAACATGTGAGATATTAGATGTAAACAAATTAATGATCAAAATTTTGTATAAGTCTTTTTATAAAATAATAGATTAAAAAAAAAAAACATTCTCCTCCTTTTTTATATCAACACAAAAAGAAACATAAAGAAAATATACAATCATCTCACCTTGAAAATTTGCATTAAAGAAACTCCTCTCGAAAAAGCTAAATGCATAAACAGTGGCGGATTTAAGTTGTTAAGTTAAAGGGATAAAATTTAGTGGTTGGTCCAGCTAAATTTTTTTTGCCTTGGCTCATTAATCTTGCTGGATCTGCCGCTGTGCATAAACCTACAATGAAGGGGCGAAGAAATAATAGAACAAACCGGGATTGCAGTATATTAGAATGCCTGACGCGTCGCGTATGGCAATTATCTAAAATCTATCGTTGAATAATCAATCTTTATAGTAATGGAATCAATACTATCGTTATGAAAGGAAGTATGCTGATAATAAGAATATTGTCAATGATTTATCGGATATATTATATTTACAAACTTTTTTGTTTACAAATTTTTATAAATTACATTCGTACTATGGGTAGTATATATTCAAATAATATGTACGATCTGTAATATAGTTTCTAAATAAAAAAATTGTACATATAACCCTTCTCTTGAATTATTATAAAAAAAGTTATTGAAAACCTTGAAGTTGCATACCTTGGATACAATTAAGTTACAGTAATATATATTCAAAATATTTCTTGAGAGATACTGCCTCAGCCCTTGAAAAGCTCCGCCACGAGCCTATGTAATATCCACATGTGTGTGTAAATGAAAATTTTATAAGTTTAAGTTTAACTTTCTTAAAAAAAAATTCAACTTCAATTTACCATTAATTAGGCAATGTTTACAAGTAGTTTGGTAATAATGGTCAGCAGAAGAGGTTCTATATTAAACTATTACGAACGGTTTAAGCAGTCTCTTCAAAACAATATCCCTATATCAGTTTTGCTGGGGAGTTATGGCTTAAACGTCTGGTTGTAATAAAAATTAGAAACCAACATGCATATGTTGATCGATCCAAAATGAAATTAACAAGTGCAAGACACCAAGAAACAGACACTAGTTACTAAATGTTACTACTAATTCCAAAATTGTCTTTTATGTGAAAGGGTGCATATATTCACGGTCCTTGTATGCATGTTCACGTTCTGCAATAAAGAAACGCGAATACATCCAACCACCAAGCTACCAGATCGTAAAATAAATTAATACTTGGATTCGTAGGATATAATATGCTTACCCAACATCCATTCTTTTGTTCGAAATTTTTTTCTAAAGATATCTCTAACTGTAATTGCCGTTTTCATGCCTCATGCCCCATGCCCCATGATAGTTAAAATCGGGTCGAAAGAAGATAAAAAATCATAAAACGTAAAATTCTAACGTAAAAAAAAATCATAAAAAATCATAAAAACGTTTGGAATTTGATAAAATTATTTTGATTGAAAAAAAATCGTAAAATCATAAATTTAAATTGGAACTTTAACTACTATGCTCATGCCTACTATAATTGGCGAGAAACTTTCGAATATAACCAATGAATTAGCCACCAATATTCATGTCATAGTTATGTAGAAAGCTCTATTTGTCAAAATTCATGTCATATAAAGCCAACAACAGGGGAAAAAGCTCGGATCTTTCCACTATAATCCAGAAATTACATGGACCCTTCTATTCAATTTATATTAAAAAAATATAAAAAAGATACAGCCACCTGAATATACAAACACGCAGAAAAATATTTGTATAAAGAATCAATTAGTAATGGAGATTAGTTGAGGAGCAATGATGATGATTCAATGATTGACTAAAAATTTATTATAAAACAAACTTTCTCTTGTAATGATTTTATAGCATGCTAAGCTAAGACACGCTCACTAACCCGGCCACTGAGAATAAAATCTTTTTTTTTTTGTTCCGTTGAATGTCCCGGGACATCATGCAAAAAAGAATAATTACGTATTACAGGTCATATATAATTATTTTTTTATACGCTCGTAACTATGTATTATGTAATTACGTAATACATAGTTATAACTTATAATATTAAAATTTTTGTTCATAACATTTATAACTATGTACTATTTATAATACATAGTTATTTTTTGTTGTAAGATGATTCTTATATTTTCGTTTTTTTTTTAGGGATGTTCTCATTTTTTTTTGGGTAACATACATGGCGAAAACCCCAAAGGAACAGAAAAACAAAAGGAAAAACAAACAACAAGAAACGAAAAAAGAGCAAGCTCAAACAGAGAGACAAGCTATTCTGTGAGCTACAACAGACTTCTGGCCAGGATCAAGGAGGTCAGCAGCCATGACTATGAGGTTGATCAAATCTTGATGGGGACAGGAGACTAAGATGAGCCCATAATTGTCTTTAACACAGCCTTTTTCGCCATCCAATCTGCACAATTGTTGCGGTTCTTAGAGATATGAGACAAAGCAACAGTCCAATTTTTGTTAAGATAAACTTGAATCTTAGTTACCAATGGAAGCTTTTGAGAAATAATATCAGTACTGCCTCGTAATACCACCACATGCA